AAAATCTCGCAGCATATATGTGCTTTGCGCTTTTCCTGAAGGCTTAGAATAAACTTCCAGTCCTGATAGTGCAGGGGACCCCGCTGTGCAGGCAGTGCAAGTCTGCACCCAGACCCTGTTCTTGCCCAGAGAATTCGTCCTGAATCATTCCCTCATGAAGTGACTAATGGAGCCTATAGCGGCAACTGCGGCAAATAGAGGAAAGCTCCTTTTACATTTTAGGCAATTGTATTGTATGGTATGTATATGGGAAAGAAAATAAATATTTTAAAACTTGCGTAGCACACCTTTTAAAACATAATCTGACTCATGCCAGCTAAGTCTTTTTCTACAATGGTTAAAATAAAAAATTTATTTCATATTAAAGTTAAAAAAATTGAGGTAGTAAAACTGCGAATAACCTACTGCTGCTTATGTTAGGGTGTAAGAGTCTTGGATATCAGAGAAAGCAGTTATGTGAGAGTAGCACTGCCTGCCAGCTGGTTGAAACCATGCTCCTACACTTTTGCCTTCAAGCAGGTCTACATCGTAGGCAACTGGACGTTTGCCCCATTTTACTAGAAGTGTTTTTCTGTCCAGGAGTCAAAATTTACAAGGTCTTATTTGGAAGGTGTCAAAACGTTTTACATTTGCCTCTGATTTAAGCTTGTTTGTGGTTGTCATGACCTAAATGGAAGAATTTGCACATGCATAACCTTTTCATTCACTCTCTTACAAGTGAGACATATACATGTCTGTTGGAAAATACTTTTTGCAGATAAAGTCACAGACAGTAATGGTGTGGAAAACTAACTTTATACCCATTTCAGACTGATGTATATGACCTTTTTGTTTTAATTATGTGAAAAGATGATGCCAAAAAAGGTTAATGCTTTCACATCAACTGCTTTGATCACAATATAAGTCATATAAAACACATAAAAAAAAAAAAAAAACCTTACTACAAAAGCACGTCACATCGCCTTAGGTACACCCTAAAGGTGGATGCTTTAAACTTGCACTGATGCTTGCTTTATTGCTCACCCACAATTTACAGTGCTTGCAGCTCGGCTCCGGTGCAAACGTACCATTAAATATGCATCCATCATAGTCAATGAGAGCATTTATACTGCCTCTGCAGGAGAGTAGGATGTGTTGGACCCAATTCTATCTTTGCTGTATGCCAAAACCAAAGATTTTCCTATATTACAATTAGGGCTGGTTAACATGGGTCAAACATTTAATCTCTGATTTCTTTTCCTACCAGATGAAATTAATTGATTTTTTTCTACCTTAGGTTTCACAATAAAAGTGTAAAATTCATTCATTACTTTTAAAACACAGCTTTTATTCAGTCCTCCCCTTTTAGACTTAGGCTCAAATAAAAGGGCAAATAAAATGAAGTTGTAAAAATGCTTCTAAAACAATGCTTCACAACATATTTTCCAACACTTTTTCCAAAAAAGTAATCTTCATAAACTGAAAATGGGAATCATTTATTTTATCAATGAACTGGCTAGCCATTATTGGAATATATGGAATATATATAACATTACGTTCTCTGTACTTAGTAGTATTTCTCATAGTAGAACAAAACTCTGGATGCAAAAAACAAAACAAAAAGACAAAAAAAAAAAAAAAAAAAAAAATCTAAAAAGCAGCTGTTTTCCAGCTGTTTGGGTCTGACCTCTGCATTGATCATCGGTTTTCTTCATTTTTTGCACATGCTTCTCCTAGTACCACCAGGCTTTGCAGTAAAGCGGAGCACATGCACTATAAAATGCGACATTATGTGAACAGATCTTGCAGAGCCAACAGTCAGGGTAACTGTCTGAATAATTTGACTAGTAATTGGGGCCAACTCATGAAGCATTCAAACCAATTTCCCAGATGGCAGGTTGATGCTTTAATATAAATAAATAAAATGTTTAAATAAATAGATTCAAACTGAAGAAAATGGTCATGATGCAGCAAACCAGTGTATTTTCCACACCTCTGGTCTGAGTATGAAATTCCGAAAGGGGTTACATCAAACGATGACATACTTAGGACTAAATATATATTTGATAAGTTACCGTATTTTCACTCCTAAATCACTCCTAAATTAACTTAAAATCCTGAAACCTGCCGACAGAAAATGTTCGCTTTTATTACTGGTATCCTGGTGCCTGCAGTTTAAATTATTTAGATGAAAAACACCTGCCAGCCACTGCATGAACCTGGAGGCTGCCCAGCCTAGAGGCTGCTGATGAAGGGATTTCTACTGTCGGCGCACCGCTGGTATGTGGGGGTCTGAGCGCCTCCGACAGAAATAGATAATCTGGATGAACTGACTGCAATTATTAAGTTTTCAGGTGGACTTTCTCACTTAAAAACATATTAAAACTACTTTATTCCCACTGATCACAGCAAATATAGCTGCAAGATTTAGATTATTTAGATGAAAAAACACCTGCCAGCCACCGCGGTGAAGAGGAGGAGACCCGTCCAGAGGCTGCTGTTGAATTAAGTTTTCAGGTAGAAAAATAGAGCGGGAGCAAAACTGAGTATGATTGTGCTTTATTCATGTATTTATTACAAAGTATTAATCAAACCCATCAAAGTCATCATCCTCTGTTTCTGAATTAAACAGCTGCACTAAATCAGACATGCCAATTTCCCCTTCTTCGCTGTCAGTCACTTTCCGTGCAGCGCAGCTCCTCAGAAATAATGCCGGCTTTTGCAAAAGCTTGAACAACCGAGCCAGCAGACACGTTAGTCCCAGCATCAACAATCCATCCGCTAAAGGTGGCGTAACTTGCCCGGCGCTGCCTTCCACTTATCGTGAAACTGTGGTCTCAGTCTGTCATCCATCGCTCCCACGCCACTCGCAGCCTTACTTTGAACGGCTGGTTCACACCGATGTCGAGCGGTGGAAGTTCCTTTGTCAGACCCCCGAGATAACGGCGAGCACAGCGTTTATTTTTTTTCACCATGTTTTTCACATCAGCTGTGAGATGGGCACGCATGGAGTCACATATTAAAAGCGATGGTGATGCGTGGAAAAAAAAACACCTGGTCTCCTCACATAGGCTACACCTCCCTCAGCCACGCTTTCATCATCTCCTCATCCATCCAGCCTTTTTCATTTGCTTTAAAATCATATGTCATCAGAGCGATGTGTCTGTCTCGCTGTCAGCTCCCAGATCAGCTTCTCTGATTCGGTAATGCGGCGCGTCCAGCAGCAAAACTTCAATTTTTTCCATCTGGAGCAGCAGCAGCGCGTTGGCGGCGCGCTCCCGACTCGCTGCGCCTGCTGCTCAAAACGCCTGCGGGACCTTTTGCTGCATCTATACGCTCGTCAACCGTTGACTTTGCATGTAAACTCGCTGCTTCTGCTGCACCTGCCGCGTCCGGTTCACAGCGAGCACAGCATTAATTTGTTTCACCATGTTTTTCACATCAGCTGTGAGATGGGCACGCAGCGATGGTGTGGTGATGAGTGGAAAAAAAAAAACACCTGGTCTCCTTACATTCAGCCACTCTTTCATCATCTCCTCAATGAGGTGGTCTCAAAAGTCGCAGTTGCAACACACATAGGGCGCACCGCACCAAAGGGCGCACCGCACATTTTGAGGGGAAAAAAAGACGTTTATGTGCGCCTTATAGTCGTGAAAATACGGTATATTTACATTTAGACCCATCTAACACTTGCTTTTAAAAACATCAGCATAGCTGGCAGGATAGGAAAAAGTGTTAACAGCAGATTTCGGTGGTGTTATTTCAACATGACTGCTGTTAGGATACAAGTGAAACGTCTGTAATCAGCGTTAATTTAGTCATACTTGTGTTTTTAAAGAGCACCAAAAAAAAAAATACCTGAAAAGAGATTAATCTGTGCAAAGAGGTTTATGTAAATACTGCATATAGTGAAGAATTTTCCTTTTAAACATGATTATTCAAACGTCTCCGTTTCAGGGAGGTTTGAATAATCATCTTTAGGATCCAAAGACGCTCCGATTAACCTAGTTCAAGGAGAGGTCTGAAATCACATTTAAGACCTCATATTGTCATCATGTATCTTGTTATTATTTCATTTTTTCCCTCAGTAAGTCGTAGAAATGCCCGACTGTCATGGTGGCCAGCATCACTACTCTAATTTTTTTAGTTTTCTTAATGTTTTATCTCATTAGATACACAGCTTGTCAGATAATCACCATTATTGGAAGGATGGTTTGTTGTGGTTTTTACCAAACCTTCTGAATTACTGGACTTTCTTGTGTGCTCCACATTCTTGAACTTAACTTTTCTTAATATTCTTAGTTCTAAAGGTCAGGCAGTAATCAGGCCTGGATTTCGCTTGGAAAATGTTATTAATCACTGTTGATCGAACATTTAACACAGAAAGGTTTACATAAGGAGCCAGGTTAGTTAGTTCCCTTAGTTGGCAAAATTCAAAAACATATTATTTTATAAACTTATATAATTTTCTTTGACAAGGAGGCACTTATGTTTCATAGTACTTTGTCTGCTTGAATGCATCTCTACTTCTATATAAACATTTAACCCTTTAAAGCCTGGACCATGAAATAATTGAAAGAACATTCAAATTTTCTCAAAATCAGAATGTCATTGAACTTAAGTTAGTTTAGATCATTTTTTGCGTCAAATTTGATACATAAGGCAATTCTGTATAATCTTTTATACAGTTTCAGTTCCCTACATGTGTCCGAATATAAACATAACACTGATGACGCTGAAGTCTCAAAAACTCATGTATCAAATATGATACGTTTGGCTTTAAAGGGTTAAGGTTTTATTAATAACTGCTGCAATACCCTCCTGAGCAGAAGATCAAGCTGCAGGAAAGTTTATAACGGTAAAGGAGCAAATCCAACTGAACCCATTACATCATGGGGTAATTCCAAACCCATGCAACATAAAGAAAGTGGTACATTTTGCTTTTACAATGAGAAGGATTTGTCTTAAAGCTTCCAGTTAGATTGCTGGCTGAGAAATGAATGTGTGTCTTTATCCTTCAGGTTTTGTGGCATCTTGACATCTTCAGGAGAAGCTTTCGTCAGCTGACCACTCACAAGTGCATGGAGGACTCATGTATCTTCTGTGCTCTAAAGGTACCAAAACCTTTATTATTGTCCACCCTACTGTATATGTTTTTTCTGTATACTTTGGTCAGTTCACTTTCAAAAAATTAATTTGTTTTGCACTTTTTGTGAGTTCAACTTTTCAAAGGAAGAAATATATTAACTTAAAGGCCAGCTCTTAGTCATCAAAAAAGAAATAGATGTGAAGCTTAGAATGAACAGATCACCACAGAAAACTGGCTCAGGTAGATTATTTTTGCCCCTCCATATTTAGTTCTTCTTTAACTTCTTTGTTTACATAAAGGTACTGAAATGTATTAAGGGGAAAGAAAACATTTACATTCTTCCATTATGCCAATATATTATATTCTAGAGTTATTAAGAATCATTAGAGGTCATTAAAATCTAGTCTTTAACAGAGAGTAGATGCCCTCCACCCACAACTATGTTTGCTTTTTTTTAACCTTAATCCTGTTTTTAATTCCAGCCTAATGAACTCCTTCTGTTTAGATAATGCTCACTGAAAAGGCTTTGGGTTGTTTTAAGCAAGTCAAAAATCTATCCAGTCTGTTTATAAAAACAAGAAACTTTTCCTGCTCATTAAATTAGTTATCTTTTTATGTATTTCTGCTTGAGGCTCAGGTTTGATCTTACCGAGGTCATTGAAACAGGGAATGCCTTTAAGCTGACTCATCTGGGCGAGTTTTGCTCAGTCATTGTAATATGAGCGATCACACTAGATCTGAATACCATCTAGCACAATGAAGATCAGGTCCCGCCTCTATTCTGTTCCATAATCTGATTCCTTTGTGTTCCTTTTTTAATATTGGTCTCATCTGAACCCGTTTCCAATGGACTGCACCTGTTCTCTGATAGAGTTGATATGTTAGAGTTGGGCCTGCTTTTCAGTGTTTAGTCCTATTTCTCTCTCAGACATAGCTATGGACTCAGGTTGTACTTCAACTAACTATGTGCTTTCGCTTTGACATAAAGACTGGCTAAAATCTTGTAGGCTTAACTCTCTCTAAGACCGAACCACCTATTGAGCTACTTTACTGTTACCTTTTCTAATATAGAAAGTATTTATAGGTCAGGGCTTCTATTTTCGTTTTATATATCTACTTCTGTCTCCTTGAAACCCCAGACCTTAGCAGGTACACACATAAATGGAGATCAGCCATGGACGTCTTATTTAAATAAATAAATAAATAACATTAGATCTACCTTTCACATAACCTTAGATCTGTAACATTACTAATTTAGCAAAAATTTAAGAGTTGGGTGATAACGCAGCACTTTAATGTTGATAACAGCCCGCCATTAAATAAATATATCTATCTATATGTATATAGATATATATATATATTTTATCTCTTTACTTAAAAACAGTATCCATTGTATGAGAGTTATTTGTTTTTATCATCTAAATTCATTTTTTTCTTTTTCTTGGTAGAATTATTGTAGTTTTTTTGTGAGAAATTGGTAGATTTCTTCTAAGGAAAAATATGTCCCTGGAAGGCGCATGGCTGTTTGGAGAAGACCAGCGTAAAATGTAGTTGCAGATAGAGCTCTAAAACTCCTGTCAGGATACTAAGCTAAGAATATTTGTCAATATTCAGGTCCAGAAGGCTCTACATTGCAGAATTCATTCAAAAGTTTTTAAAGTGGTTGGAGAGCTTCAAGCTGCTGATAGTCTTACTCTTTTTTGTGTTTAATATATGATCATATTTTTTTCTATTTATTTATCAAGATCATTTAAAGTAAAAACAACAACAAAAAAAACCCCAGAATGTTAATTTTTAATTTTTTTTGTCAGAAAATATTTTTTTACATTTTATTTTGTAATATTTTCTCTATTTAAAAGCATCATTTTTATTTTTATTTATTGTTATCACTATTTGATTTCTTTTCTTCTTCTTCTTCTTTTTTTTTTTACTATGTCATAGTTTAAAACATGTTTTTTGTAAAAAAAAAAAAAAAAAAAAAAAAAAAAAAAAAAAAAAAAGCCAGAACAAATAGTTTTTTACATTTTTCACCAGGGTTTTTGGTTTTTTGTCGTTGCCCTTTTAGTGCTGTGATATAAATATAACTGCATTCTTGGGGTCTCTTAGCAAACCAACTGTTAAAAAGAGAAATGATACTGTCGTTCCCCACTGCTTTTGATTGGGTGATGATGGAACCAACTTTACGGAATAAAAGTGAATTACTTTGACATCCTTGCATTGACAGTGTTAATACAAAGTGGATTATTTGACAACTTCAAAATAGAATGCAAGAAAGATGTTATACAAGAATTGTTGGAAATAAGCTTTTAAAAATTTATATGAGAACTTGTGACATTTTTTTCTGTGGGGAAAATATGTCCCTGGGTGTTTCATAGCTCTACGGAGTAGGTTGGCACAAAAGAGAGCTTCCAAGAAACCAGCAAAAACCTCATCAGGATACTGGGCCATAAACATTCTTGGATTGCTCAGGTTCAGAAAACTCTGTAATGTGGCATTCATCCAACAGTTGCTGAAGGTGTTGGAAAACTTGCAAAAGTATTTTGGTGAATCAAAGTTATCTGTTTTAATGTCCTCCGTTTTAGAGATGTATCTTCTAAATAGGCAATAAGTTCTTCCTCAGTTAATATATTAATTTTGAAGAGCATTTTCACAATTTCCCTGACTTACAATGTTGTCCTCATTTTTAACTTCATTCAGTGTAATCTGGGTACAACAAATCAATTGCTTTGCTTCTCCTCTGCTCTGGGGAATGTGCCGCCTGGTATTTTCTGTAAACGGGCATCAACTTCTTTTTATATCATAATTTCACTCCGACTAGGGTCTTCAAAAGTTTATGGACTTTGTGTTACATCAATATGCTAGAAACATCTGTTTTTATTGGGGCCTGCCATGGCAAAGCATGAAGCCACCAATCATTCTACACCCTGCAAAATGGAGAAACAGGAAGACTTGAATAATAAACACAGATAGAAAAAAGTTAGAGGCCTGTGATTAACAATAAAAACAGATGAGAATTCCGGGGGTGGGGTGGGGGTTGGTTGGCAGGGACAAAACACAAACTAAGAGAATTTAAGCCTAACTGCTCAAGGATCATAACACACAGGGAATGGAGGCTTGACATATTTTAAAATTGTGGTCTCTAATCTCTACAATAATGTTTAATATATTAACAACTGAAAACACTTAAAACAATTACTTTCCACCTTAAAACACATTTTGAAACAAACCAGGTTAATGTTTGGTATAATGCTAAACAAGTTTGAGAGGATATAGAAAAAAGCTGACTAAGTGCAGTTTTTAGTGTAAAGCCACTCCCTGCCAAACCAATGATGGAGTTTCTTGCTTTCTCATAATCTTGAAAGCTTCAAATAAATATAATTTTTTCTTATGTTTCAGCTCGTCTGTTTAAGCTGTAGCGAAATGCTTTTTTACTGCTCTACTCTAGTTCAGTGATTAAAACATGTACCTTTTCCAAATATAGTTGTATTGGTACAAAGAACCCCTGGCCTGATATTTTCCTCTAGAATATTCAAATTTTAACTACAGTCTCTACCATTTTAAACCTCCCTGTAATGGGGTCCATTTCACAAAGCTCACATTTCACAAGCTTAACAAACTCAGACTCATATCTTCAACTCTGAATTGATCCAGCATGAAGTTGGAAACTCTTAATTTTCAGTTACATAAAGGCCACTGTGAGTTAGTTTAATCAACTTTTAGTACATTTACTTAGAGTTGAGCACATGCGTAACAAGTAGGAAAAGTCAGTATCAGTGGAGCCCAGATGTGACGAGTTATCATGACAACAGGAAACAGGAAGTGCCTATTTCAAACAAATAGAACTAGAGATATTAATGCATAAATTGAAAAACAAAAGAAATTGGAGAATGTGTTTAAAACACAGAGCAACAGCGCCACAGCTGCTAAAGAGAGGGATATGGAGTAGATTGCGTATGTTTATATGCAGTGCACTGTATTTACATTTATTAAGAGCGCTCTCCTCTCTGTTATTCCATTTCCACTAAAATAAGATTTTTTCCTGGTCAAAATCACACTCCTAGACAGAATTAAAAAACCTTTTCCAAATTACATCTTTTGCAGCAGAAACTGAAAATCAAAAAGTGAAAAAACAAAAGTGTGCTACAAAGAATTAAGTTGTATATACCAAGAAATGTTTACACATTTTAGCTTTGCACATTTTTTGCTTTGATAGCGAAAAATATCATTTTGTTTCAAGTGGTTATATTGACAAGGGAAACTTTTTGTTTTTCAAATTTTAGAAATACCTATTCTGTCAAACTAATACATCTGAAAATGACCTACCATAGGTTGTTTTGACCATGATAACATTATATTCTATTTAGGTGAAATCGTTTGATCGGAGGTGAAGTCTAAAAACGTTGTTCTAATAGACAGGACCTGTTCATCATTTCATTGGGTTTTTCCTCAGTTTGATTCTGTTTTCTATTACACAGAAAATACTATGTGGCTGTTTCCAGTCTGTTCGGATGTTATCATCCCATTAAAGGGTCATTATTAGTGGTTATCAGTCTTATAGAATAGCATCAGATTGTGTCAGTAGGCTTAGTATGCTATCATCGAGTGAATCCAAATTCTAACCCTAAGTTATTCCCTTCTTTTCCCATGGAATGAATTTATCTATGTATGTGTAATCTGAAAATAATATCAGTAGTTCTTCATGTACTGTAAAAAAAAAAAAAAACTCTGTTTCTTTGTGAGCTGATTATAAAGGATTTTGCACAGTGATACGGCAGCCTAGCTCTCTGTTGCATCTCAGGACTCCAGAAGATAAAGAACTATAACCTCCTGACGCTCTCGTAATGAACAGGCTTAAAGCAGCTCAGCTCGGGCCATTTGTTGCATCAGTGCCATTATACATGTGTCTCATCCTGGAAGTGTGTGCTCCTCATGCCGCTCCGTCTCCAGCGCCTGCTGTAATTAATTGGCCCGGCTGAAAGCGCTGAGCCAGCACTGCCCACGCTGGGGCGTTGAAATAAGAAACACACACGCATATATCTCACTTTGCACTCCAGCCACGCACCTTTGGATCCTCCCGCTTTGGCCGCACGCATACAGGACAGTGTGCAGCTGTGGGTATAAAAACCAAGGGTTTCTTCTGTATTTTCCTGTCGGTTTTCATTAACTGTCCTCCCAGGTATCAGCTGTAACACTGCTCCCTACAGTCTGCTTGAGTTGATTAAAGCCTCCAAATAACCGAGCCAGACATCCACAAAATTAGCTTCAATGGAGTGTTAAATTTCAAAACAACTTCTTTAATCATGTAGAAGAAAAATCCTGGGTCTGTTTTACTTTACTTTTGGTCTATTTGTGGTAGATAAAGACTGCATTGTGCTTTCGTAGTGGAGATAAGTTCGGAGGACGCCAGTGGCAATCCCTCAAGAAAATCACTGCAACAATTTATCTCTCTCAGCTGCAAAACACTTTCACACTTACACACATGCACACAATTGGATGCAGATACCCGAGCACACACTGCAATAATCACAAAGAAGAAAGGGCAAAGAAGAAAGAAATGAAAATGGGAGGAAAGAATGGAGAAAGATGAATGAACATGGGAGCGGTTGCTGATTGTTTCTGTTTTCACACTCAAACATGCGCGCACACACTTTAACACACCTCTTTTACTCACTCACTCCGCCCCCTCTCTTCCTGCACTCCTCCCTCTCTGTAGGGTCTATTCCCCCTCCATTCTCCTTGGCGCAATGCTGCAGTCAGCACAGACACCATATCACACACACACACAATATTGCTCTCACTTTTCCTTTTTCCTCTCTCACTCCACCGTTCACACACATACACACTCCTCTCCGTCAGCAGCAAGACTGCATTACCTTTGCCGTTGCCATCACTCGGCCCTGATGAAGCCTATTGTTTGAGAACATTTTCACATCATTATGATCGCAGCCATTTTGGTAAACTGCTCCCGTAATGTCATCTGAAATCATGTCTACCTTTGTCCGGTACAATTACCATTTAACAAGTACATAGGGATGTTCCGCCTGGTCATCAGTAGATTTTGGTCCCTTTGGCTGTGTTTGCAGGTGCCAAGTCCACCTGGAAAATAGCATTGAGAGCTTTATAGTTTGTCAGCAGAGGAAAGGATGAAAAGTCTAAAAGGCGATGTGAACCCAAAGCATCGTGGAAGTTGTAGAGGGATTGAGGGGTCAAACATGACGAGAAGATTGATCACAGTGTTGCGATGGAGCTGTCCTGTGAGGTAAAGGATTTTTTTCCGTCTTTAACAAAGACAGAGGAAATAGCGGGAAGAGAGAAAGGTTCCTTGGAGGCCAGAAGCCCTTCTCCTTCCTCTTACATATAATGGTTACCATGGTCGCCGTCAATACGTTTTTGAGCAAAACACTTAAAAAAAATCTTTACCCAAATTGAATCTCTTTTGCATTTTCTTTTTTTTTTTATAATGAGAGATTGCACACAAAAAAATCGGAATAAAATGAATAATGATTTATTTTAATTTCCCATCTTAACAGAATTATTTAGTTTATGTCAGTCCCTAACTGAACTACAGCTTCCCAGGGTGGTGCTGCTGACATCCTTTCTCCTAAATTACATCACATAGCAAAAATTTGATGCAGTAACCCTTTTAAAAGCAGGATTTTTACAAATGTGTAGCACACTGTCAAAAATAATGCTTTTTTCCTTTTAAAGAATAAGAAAAAGATGATTTGAATACAAAGATACATCGTGTTTAAATAAACGTTTTTACAATTAGCTCCTTAATTGATTTTATTTAGCTATGTATTCATGTTTTATAGAAGGCCTATGTTTTTCATACTTAATTGGACCCACTGAGGACAGAAACAGATGACACATCAGTGCTGACGAAGTGTGACTGTGTGAATATTCTTTCCTTGATGTGGTGTTTTTGAAAGTCCTCAGGATACAGAGAGGACCTGCTGTTTTGCAGTCCAGCCATCTCATCGGCAACTGAAAGCACCGCTGTGAAGGAAAACCAGCAGAGGACTGACCACTGTTTGGATATGTTAAGCCAATTTAGGTTTATTCCTGTCAGAGGCCTAGGCTTGTTTAGTCTTAGTCATTATAATATATATATATATATATTAGGGCTGCAACTAACGGTTATTTTAAAAATCGATGAATCGGCCGATTATTTTTTCGATTAATCGATGAATCGGACAAAAAATTTTTTTTATATTAACCTCTTTATTCCAAAATAAACATTTTAGACAGAACAAACAAGCACACAAGTACAGGTTGCTCATTAACTGTACTGGTGCAATATGAAAAATAAATGTTTGTGTAAAAACTATGCAAACTTACATGAGAAATGTAGCTGTACATCCACAAAATATAGGCTACTTTGTTTCATAAAGCGCAAAAAGAGACAGGCATTTTTGTTTTTTAAAGCCCCTAAGGGGTTCAAACAATAGCCCCCCCCCCCATTTCAACAAATTAGTTTTTTTTAGACTAGAAGAGTTCTGCCTTTTAAGACAGGAAAGTATAGCAGTTAAAGTTGCTGCTTGAGAAAATACTGAACCATAGAGATAAAAATAGCCCTGTGATTCAAATTATAAATTGTATTTGGAATAAAAATGAGAGAACTAGGGGTGGTAAAAAAACACATCCTCCAAAGACTCCAATTTACATGGGAATGTGGCAGATAATTAATTGACATATTACTGATCTTGCTGGATTTTGTTCTGCTTTACTTCCATAAATTGCAGGATCTTCTTTTCTTTATCTTTGCCAGAAGATTTAAACTTTAAAAGCCTTGCCCTCATAATTTGCAAGTTAATTTATTTATAAAGAAAATATAAACGCTGCTTAAACAAATTTAAATGAAATTAAAAGTAAAATAAGTAGCCAACCTTATCACTGTCTGTAACCTACTAACAAGGTAAGGAAAGCATCAGATGAGCTACCTGAGAAACTAACTTACGTTTCCCCTCTTTAAAATGAAACAAACATGGTTACTCATCCTGCTGATCAGCTCTCTTCACTGCCATTGAAGGCTCCAACGTGTTTTCTTTTCAGGTGCTGCGTCATAACAGTGGTGCTTCCGTGCCATGTTCATTTGTTTTTACGAAAGTTGCATGTTACGACTTTTTTCACTTTACAAAGCGCAGGCTATTTTAATTATTGTGATCAATTTGCGCCATCAATCCCGGCGCATGCGCGCTTCATTTGCAGTCTGGACGCTGAGGGTAAACTCCTCACTAAAATCCTGCTGCTCTGACTCTGACTGCTGCGCTGAGAGGGATTCCTGTGGGAGAGGGAGAAAGGCGTTGGGATGGGGGAGGCGCCCCACGGCAGGCAAGAGCCGCCAGTGACACCGTAAAAAGTCGCCAGATTTGTTGCTAGTCGCTTTTTTGAAAAATAGTCGCTGGAGGGGTCTGAAAAGTCGCTGAGTTGGCAACACTGCAACTGCGGCGCTGACTCGCTCCGCCATATTTTTTTTTTCTTCCCCCGGATGACGGCGGTGGCGGATGACGCATTAATCGCGCGACACAACTAATCGATGATTAAATTCGTTGCCAACGCTTTTAAAAGTCGATTTTTATCTATTTTATCGATTCGTTGTTGCAGCCCTAATATATATATATATATAGAGGGATTATCAGGCAACGTCACTCTACGTCACTTCCGGCACCAATGCGCATGTCGCCTGCAGAAAGAGCCGCTAACATGTCTTGTTGTGCTGTCGGTTGCACGAACCGTTTTGATAAAAACAATAAAACGCGCAAGTTTTACCGAATCCCATCAACTCGCACCCCTTTCAAGGCAAACAAGAGACGTCTTTGGTTGCAAGCCATCAGAAGAAGCGATTGGAACGAGCAGATGATTAAAAATGCATCAATCTGCAGCGATCACTTTATATCAGGTAAGTCTTATCTATAAAAAAGCTAAACGGCATCGCTGGTTTTACAAACAATGGTTTTACATACAATTATTAAGTATTACATATATAAACGGGATTAATGAATCGTACAAAACACATTGGAGCATAACTAGCATACAAGCTAATGTACCTTGATTCGATCTTATCAAGTTGCAACTCATCGGGTCAGCCATAAGTTTTATCATTAACATCATCAGGTTGTCTGGTCTAAACTTCTCTGTGTGTGCTGTCTTTTCAATTGATTGACTAGTGTCTGTAATAAAGGTTGATGATGATGATGATGATGATGATGATGATGATTGCGTCAATACATTATTTGTACAGGAGAGGCATCAGACGACATTGACAGCCCAGACTTTGTCCCGTCTATCTTTCCATACTCAATCCAGCCCGGCAAAGACGGTGTTGCAAAACTGGAGCGGTAAGTATCACATCTGTGTGCTTGATTGTTGTCTGATTACAAGCATGACTCCACATAGTATGACTGGAAGTGCAAAGAAAAAATATTGATATATTGTAGCTATATAGGTTACCCCGGTTAAAGGTCAGAGCATGTAGTTTTTATTAGACATCTCATATGGAGAGTTGGGATGACTTAGCATGTGATTTGCATGGACTTGAATTTAGGAGATAACACCTGTGGAACTGTTTTGTTTTTTTGGGGTTTTTTTGCACTAAATGATTGTTCTCTCCTGTGTGTTTCAGATATAAGAGAAAAAGAAGAAGGGATGCAACCCCCAGCAGGTGTCCAGAAGATGGACATCAGTGTACACCCTCTTCCATCTCTCCAACTGAGTGTGGAATAGAGGCTGGTGCTGATCTATATAATGGTATGAAACCTTATTACTAACCTGACCAAGACGGCCTGCAAACTCATTTGGATTTTTATAAAGGGACGTAGATCTGTGTGTTCCTAAATGTTAACATATTAATTATTTTTTAAATTTTTAAATTTTATTTCAGTTTAACATGGGAACAAAGTCAGAATTCTGAGATTAAAGTTAGAATTCTGACTTTAATCACAGAATTCTGACTTTTTTCTCAGAATTCTGACTTTATTCTCAGAATTCTGACTTTATTCTCAGAATTCTGACTTTTTTCCCATACTATACGGAAAAAAAAAAAAAACAAAACAGTTAACTTTTTTTTTTCCAGTGGCCCTTATCCTCTTCCGTACTAGTGTGATTAATCAGTTAGTAATGTTCATATCTGTTGCGAACAGGTATTTGCCCACAGTGTGACTGATCACCCAGAATGTAACCATTTGTTTTTTGTAAAGATAAGAATGTAAAATTTGTATTTATTTTTCAGAAGGTATGGTCCCAAAGACTGTCCATGATGACCTCCAGCTGAAGTACAGCCAACTTCATACAGAGTGTGATAACCTGCGTGAGGACATCAACAAACTGAAAACAGAGAATGAACAATTAAAAGAAATGCTCAGGACTGCACAGTTCTCTTTTGCGTCACTGCAGTGTAAAGCAGCACAGGTGCTGTTTTTCACAGGTCTAACCAGTGCCCTCTTTAATTGGGTCCTGCAGACGATTAAGGACAGTGTTGAGGTCATCCGTGGCTCTCTGACCCTAGAGGATCATCTTTTGGCTGTACTCATGAAACTCAGATTAGGACTCACCAACAAGGATATTGCATTCAGATTTAATGTTAACGAATGTGACATCTCTAAAATCTAAAGAAGTTGGCTGCCTATTATGTCTCAGATTTTGAAACCTTTAATCAAGTGGCCAAGTAAGCATGCTATATTAAAGAATATGCAAAAATGTTTCAAACCTAAATACCAGCGTTGCAGGTGCATTATTGACTGCACAGAAATTTTTATTAACAGACCAACAAATTTAACAGCCAGAGCCCAAACATATTCAAATTATAAGAGCCATAACACGGTTAAGTATTTGGTTGGCATGTCACCTGCAGGAGCAATTACATTTCTGTCTGCAGGTTGGGGTGGGCGTGTTTCTGATAAACAACTTACAGCCGAGTCTGGATTTTATGACCTTCTACAAGTAAATGATGAGATACTAGCAGATCGTGGTTTTACCATTAGAGATGAGCTTGCCTTGCGTGGTGCTACCCTGAGGATCCCTCACTTTACCAAAGGTAAAAAGCAGTTGTCTGCTCAAGAGGTGGAAACATCGAGGCGTTTGTCCAATGTCAAAATACACATTGAAAGAATAATAGGGAGATGGAAAACTTTCCGAATTCTTACTACTGTTATCCCTTTATCACAGGCGGACCTGTTAGATGACATTGTAATTGTTTGTGCAGCAGTGACAAACATTTGCAAATGCATAGTCCCTAGAAAATAAATTAAAAGCCCTTAATTGAATTGTGCCAAAATTAAGGCCTTAATGTTGTTAACATCTATGAATTGAGGTTTAAATGTCATTGAATATTATTTTTTGAAAGAAATGATTGCCTAAGTATTTTCACTGCATAAGCTCATTGAACATTCAAAAGCTGTGGTTTAAAACATTTTGCAGCAGTTTTGGTTCAAAATGTGTGTTGTATCCAGTTTGCTTTTGAATATTGAGATTTTTCCTCATTCCTCTGTTGTATGATATATTTCAAAATCTTAAATGAAATATGCAGATATTTTGCTTTGTGTTTTGCCATTGAAAATAAAACAATTCAATCAGCTGATACGTGTGTAAACCCTGTGTAAATATTAATAAAGTATTCAAGAGTCAAGGAAACATTGAAATATATTTATTCTTGTGCATGTAACCAATAATAAAAATAACAATATTAAACATTCTTGTCATAAGATGCACACTGAGAACCTTAGTGCATACTTTGAATGGTAAGCACAGGTACAGTTACAACTCTATGTTTCAGAGTGCATTTTTTCTAGTTTTTCTGTTTTTTGCACTGATCACAATACCATTCTTTAGCCTTTCTTTTTACTTTTGCACATTCGTAGTGGAAATGCCTATTGCACTTTGCACAAGTGGGAATGAGTGTCCAGCCAGTGAATTTTGGGCCATTTTTTCTCGTCATTTATCTACTCACCGGCATGTAACGCGTATAAATAATCCCTCTATATATATATATATATATATATATATATATATATATATATATATATACATATATATATATATATATATATATATGTATATATAGTACCAGTGTTAGACGTGACTTCTCTTTTTTCTTTGTCAGCTACAACACACCACAGTTATCTTCTTTTGTAAATTTAGCTCTCTTTTTCATCGTCTAAAGCAGCGTAAAACTATTATGATAATTACAATGGCACACTCACAGAAAGCATGCATAATTTACTAATTTAAAATACTCCACAGTTTTATTTCCATCTAATCATCCTTTGCCTCAATTCACTTGCAGGGTTATAACAGCTGAACCGGTGCAAACTGTCTAAAAAAACATAAATGAGTCAAGGTCAGCAGCAAAGTCAGTCTAAGACTGACCAGTTTTTAGTTTAAAGTGTGAGTTTAAAATGTCCGATGATGAGCTGTAAACAGGAAAAACATGGTTCAGTCCAAGTCAAATTGATTGGATTCAGTCCGGTAGCTTTGATCTGACTCTCATTCAGTTAAATCCAGTTAATCAAATTGAGTTAGATTCTCTTTGATTAGATTCAGTGCAGCCAAATTCAATTGAATTAAATCAATTTTAGTGCAGCTTGATTCTGTTCAATGTAGTTCAGTCCAACGTATTTGATTCATATCAGTCCTTCTCTGTCCACTTGAACTTCATCCAGTTGGTTTTCAGTTATTTCAATCTAATTAGCCTAGATTGTTTTCTCTAAATTAGAATTATTATATTCTATTAATTATAAGTCAGTCAAACTTGATTGGTTTTCATTCAGTTCTTCTCGATAAATAAATATGTTAATGTTTCTAACTATGTTTGCATGTACATAGAATCTCTTTCCATCCTCTGGCATTCAACCAATGCCTTCTTTGTAGTATAAGTGCAAAAACTGGCACCGAAGTAGTTTCAGATTTGAAAAAATCGTTTGCATTTTCTTCCACTCATGAATTTGTGCATTTTTGTCATCAGAATGTTTGATCTGATTTGTATTCTAATGGGGAGTAACCTCCATGTAATGCAAAAAGGAAAAAAAACATTTTAAGGTTTAACAGAATTTATTCCAATCAAATATAACAGAACAATTGATAATGAGCAAATCATACAGAGAAAATATTGAATTTCCTATACCTCAAGGATTGTTCTCCTCCATCAGCCAAAGAAAAGAGACCCCCTAACTGCATTTTCTTTTTCTTTTTTTTCTTTTTGCAGAGCTGGCCTTCCTGATCAGCTTCTCCGGCTGCTTTCTCTTATATTCTCCATATATAAGATTGTAGTTTTACAATGAATCTTTTGGATTCAACCACAAACCTGAATGTTATTTTTCAGATTTTTTCAGATTTTACAATAGAGGTGAAATGTTTTTTGTTTGTTTTTTTTTACACATACATGTGAGGAATGTGGTCTGCATCTGTTTTAAAAATCCTACTTCACGAACAGACTCCACCTGTGAGTAATTTAATCTCAGTATAAGTTCTCAGTTCTACAAAAGTCTCCAAGATTTGCTAGAGAATATTAATGAACAAACAACATGACGACCAAAGAACACACAAACAGGTTAGAAATAACCTGTTTTTGCACAGCTTATATCCCTTTAGATAATCATCAAGGAGAGTTTCCCACAGGAAGACCTGAAAGTTGGCTGCAAACTGACTGAATAATTCTGTCTTTGCAGGATATTCTTTACATCAGTTGCTGCACTCAATGGCCTATCCCCTTCTTCTAGCCCCCTCCCAGCTATAGTCTCAATTTTACTGCTAAAAACCACTCTTTATGTTGTTTTTTTATTTCCAGACAAATGCACCGCAAATGTCATCTATTATTGATATGTTCTGATATTGAGGCCTTGGGATAGTGCTATTTGTTTTTAGCTCTATCAGAGAGTGACCTGCAGCACTTTAGTCCTGGATAAATTCACACGTTCCCCTGCTTCTGTTTTTTATGGGTCGTTTAAAATAACCTGATGATCCAGGCGGATGTGTTCAACGATATACTGCTTTATTTCTGTTTCTTTTTTTTTTTTCTTTCCTCCAGCTCCAACAATGCAGAGGTGTTTCAGGAGCACTATTGCAAAATACAGGTGCTGGTCATAAAATTAGAATATCATGAAAAAGTAGATTGATTTCAGTAATTCCATTTAAAAAGTGAAACTTGTATATTATATTCATACATTACATACAAACTCATATATTTCAGATGTTTATTTTGTTTAATTTTGATGATTACAAATGACAACAAATGAAAATCTCAAATTCATCATATCAGAAAATTAGAATATTGTGAAAAGGTTCAAAATTGATGGCCCCTGGTGCCACACTCTAATCAGCTAATTAACTCAAACCACCTGCAAAAGCCTTTAAATGGTCTTTCAGTCTAGTTCTATAGGCTACACAATCATGGGGAAGACTGCTGACTTGACAGTTGTCCAAAAGACGACCATCGACACCTTGCACAAGGAGGGCAAGACACAAAAGGTCATCGCTAAAGAGGCTGGCTGTTCACAGAGCTCAGTGTCCAAGCACATTAATAGAGAGGCGAAGGGAAGGAAAAGATGTGGTCGAAAAAAGTGTACAAGCAAAAGAGATAACCGCACCCTGGAGAGGATTGTGAAACAAAACCCATTCAAAAATGTGGGGGAGATTCACAAAGAGTGGACTGCAGCTGGAGTGAGTGCTTCAAGAACCACCACACACAGACGTATGAAAGACATGGGTTTCTGCTGTCGCATTCCTTGTGTCAAGCCACTCTTGAACCACAGACAGCGTCAGAAGCGTCTTGCCTGGGCTAAAGAGAAACAGGACTGGACTGCTGGTGAGTGGTCCAAAGTCATGTTCTCTGATGAAAGTAAATTTTGCATTTCCTTTGGAAATCAAGGTCCCAGAGTCTGGAGGAAAAGAAGAGAGGCACTTCATCCACGTTGCTTGAAGTCCAGTGTAAAGTTTCCACAGTCAGTGATGGTTTGGGGTGCCATGTCATCTGCTGGTGTTGGTCCATTGTGTTTTCTGAGGTCCAGGGTCAACGCAGCCACATACCAGGAAGTTTTAGAGCACTTCATGCTTCCTGCAGCTGACCAACTTTTTGGAGATGCAGATTTCATTTTCCAACAGGACTTGGCACCTGCACACAGTGCCAAAGCTACCAGTACCTGGTTGAAGGACCATGGTATCCCTGTTCTTAATTGGCCAGCAAACTCTCCTGACCTTAACCCCATAGAAAATCTATGGGGTATTGTGAAGAAGAAGATGCAATACACCAGACCCAACAATTCAGAAGAGCTAAAAGCCACTATTAGAGCAACCTGGGCTATCATAACACCTGAGCAGTGCCACAGACTGATCGACTCCATGCCACGCCGCATTGCTGCAGTAATACAGGCCAAAGGAGGCCCAACTAAATACTGAGTGCTGTACATGCTCTTACTTTTCATGTTCATACTTTTCAGTTGGCCAACATTTCTATAAATCCTTTGTTTTTATTGGTCTTCAGTAATATTCTAATTTTCTGATATGATGAATTTGTGATTTTCATTTGTTGTCATTTGTAATCATCAAAATTAAACAAAATAAACATCTGAAATATATGAGTTTGTATGTAATGTATGAATATAATATACAAGTTTCACTTTTTAAATTGAATTACTGAAATCAATCTACTTTTTCATGATATTCTAATTTTATGACCAGCACCTGTAGTTTACGTTTGCTGCAGCTGATGAAAAATTGATGGATTCTTTATATTTGTGTGCATTTGCAGAGCATCTTTGCTCAGTTCCAGTTCAGCAGCGAGCATGTTCTGCCGTCGGACGCACTGCGGAACGCTCTGGCCAAGACTTTCCAAGACAAACAGCGGTTTCAGCTGGGCATCATGGACGACGCTGCTGAATGTTTTGTGAGTCTGCAGCAGTGACATTGCTTCACACACACACACACATGCAGCTGATTGTATAAGACTGCAGATATATCTCACTTTATGACCAGTTATTTTTCTTAGAAAAGTCAAGGACAAAAGTAATCATTAGAAAGAACAAATTTTAGCTGCTTCCAATCTTTGTCTTATCTTAGTCTGGATGCTGGCACCATGCGGAAGCGTTTTCCACTTGGTTCACATGTAAAGTAATTCATTATATTTTGTCAAGAACCCAGTCATGTCGCATGAATAAAACATGATGCTTGAGTGTATTGGGATCAATAGTGTAAAATTCAATTCAGCATTTCTGTCTCTGTCCATATTAAATAATTGTCCAACAACATTAGGCAGTAATCTAGTTGTAAAAAAAGAAAATATGTTTTTGGAAGTATGCAAAGCTTAATTAATATAGTCTATTAACCTAAAGCAATATGCATGGTATGGTTGTTACATGTCAGGTACGCCGGTCATTGACCTTGACCAAGGCACCTTATAGTAGAACTGCAGTCAGTTCCTGGACTGGCATGGCTATCACTGCCCCTACATAGATAGGGAAAGATTTGTACTGGGATCAGCTTCATGGTAGGACACTTCTTTGATTTTATTTATTTTGCTCAGGCTACTCGTAAGCCCACTGTCATGGTTTTGGTTTTGTTTTCCCTCCGATTTCTCATTGGTCTCATTTTTCATTCTTGTGTTCTAGGTATTTTTGATTGTGTTTGAGTTCTTAGATATTTCCTCTTTGCCCTTTTGTGTCAGTCTCCTTTTCCCTAGCTCCCTTCCTGCCTCTGTTCACACCTGCTCCCAATCTACTAATTAGCCTGGTCTTTGTTTCTCTCTCACATTTATTCTCCTCCTGCTCAGTGGTGAGTCTCACATAGTGGAGAAATTGCAAATCTTCTTTCGGAAAGTAAGCTTGTCTGCAAACAGCAACTTCTAAACAGAGCGTGCACGAAGAGAAATGAGCTTGTGCATGCTCTCGCACGCGTTTAATAGACGTTCCCTCTCCAGAGCGGGTACAGGGTTGTGAATGTGCCTTTTTTTTTTTGTAAGTGGACAGGGTAGGTCTTTTCAGACTTTGCAAAAATCCACTATATTTTCTAAGTTGCAACATGTGAAATCAGTTACGAAATGTTTTAGAGGTATGAAACAGTTTTTTGTTTCGTTGGTAAATTTATGTTGAATTAAAAAAAAAATTAGCTCTTTGCTTTTTTTTGTTTAAGTGGATAAAAAAATGTACTGACCCATTTAAAAAAAAAAGTACTGGTGCATTTAGTTCTATGTGGAGCAGGTCCAAAGATAATGTAGCTTTTATGTCATTTTTAGAGCTGGAACATATTTTAACCTCTTGTGATGCGTCTCTGTGAATTTCTTTTGTTTTCCCTCCTTTAATGGTCTTCAAACTGAGGAGCATTTGTACCGAAGTGAAGGCATTTTGGTTTTTCTCATGTCCTTTTTTGTTAAATCTTAGGTTTTGGACTAGTTTAATTGAGTTTAAGTTAAATTATGGTTGGGCATGGTCTGGTAATTAGGTTTAGAGTTGTTGTCATGGTTATGGCATAGAAAGGGTTGAAAATGACTGAAAATCAATGCGAGTCAACATACGGTCCTCACTACATATACCAAAATGAGAATGTGTGTGTATGTTTTATGTGGGCTTCCAAAAGGTGTTGTCTGATCGATTGGTAGTAAATGTGTTCAGTCAGGGAATCGGTCGGCTTCTTATGAAATATAGATGCTGCTCCGACGGTCAGATTAACAAGAGCACCAGCAGAGAGGAGCAATCAAACCCACACGCACACAAGGCCACACACGCATACATGTACCGCGCAGCTATATCCATAAAACCACTCAGCTCGTATGTGTAAACGTTTCTGTGTTGCATGTTTTTCAGGAGAATCTGCTGATGCGTATCCACTTCCACATCAGCGCAGAGAGCAGGGAGGACATCTGCACAGCCAAACACTGCATCCCTCACCAGAAATTTGCCATGACTCTTTTTGAACAAGTAAGTACTCAAAAGGGAAGGGCAGTTAAGTAAAAAAATGTATGCTTTATGAAAAGATAGTTTTTCACTTTACATTCTTCTCATCAACACACCCACCACACGATGTGCAAATATGTTTATAATTAATGCAATAGGTACTAAAAAACCTGTTGTAAAATGCTGTTATGTCATTAAGAAACTCATAAGTGTCAGGGTTACAAAAAGGGATTATAGTCGGAAGAAAATAAAATGTTTATATTCAGTGAGATATTGACATGAAAGGGTTAAGTAATCCCCACTTCCAAACAAATCTTAACAACTTCATACATTAAGGTAATTTGAAATAAAGTGCAATAGCAAATACAGCTGACTATTATAAAAAATTATTTCAAACTTAGTTGGGTAACCCTGGTAGAAACCCATCCCAGAAGCTGTAACTGCAGTAAAAGGTGGTTTCATAAATGGATTCATGTTTTCCAGTAAAGAATTAGCAAAACACCTTTGAATTAAAGCTCCTTAAAATAAAAGAAAGATTTCACAGCTTAATAAAGGTGTTGATGAGTCTAAAGTTAAAATAGGGCCTGTGCATTCAATAAAGACAGCTTAGAAAGATGGTTTCTTTTCACCTCCTAAAGCAGAAAAGATTTTCATTTAATTACTTTAGACTAAAAAAGGAAATGGAAGAAAAATTCAAATAACATAGAAAGGAGCCTACCTTGTAAAGCTCTAAAGCTTAAGAAGAAAACTTTAAAATGAAATCTAAATCTGACTGGTGACTGGTATAAAACAAGGATTAAATCAGGGGTTTTTCAATCCTTTTCATTCCTGAGCCTTTAGGATTAATAGAAAGGCTGTGCAAGAACCTTTTTCCATATCTCAGTCTTGGTTTTTTAAATTTGGATAAATAAATGTGTATATAGATATATATAATGAAGAAAACGTATACCCATTTTTAAGGTTTAATGTCTTTTCTGATATCTATAATATTAGACTAGAGCTAAACTTATTTTTAAAAACACACATTTTATGAGAATATTGTAATGTTGTCTTTTACAGTACTCTGAAAAGGTTATTTAGGTTTTTTGGCCTTGGACTGATTTTATTTAGCTCAAAAACGGCCCTTTAGATTATCAAGGTAAAACGTACTGAAGTGCATATAAGTTTGCAGCGGTCATTGGAGGAATTGGACAACTTTTAGCGGAATACACCTTTAATGGAGACCCTTATCAACAGCCTCAACTTATTTCTAGCATCTTCTAACACAAACTTAGCTTTCAAATGTCATGATGGGTTTTTTCGAATCTGACCCACATGCAGAGAAACCACTCAGAGCATGGTAAAAGTTTAACAGGTTAATTGAGGGAGTAAAACTGGAGTTGGATCTTGAACTCGTTGAGCTGGTGACCCGGAACTGGAAGTGAGAAGGGAAGTTTAGTGGTCAGTTCAGGGACTGTGGGAATCTTGGAAGCACTTAGATTATGCTAGAATGGGACTCACGTTTGAGGGAGGCCTTGTTTGTCCTTGAATCCAGTCTGTGTGGTAAATCCAGAGAATAGTGCACACATTGGAGGGTGGACAGGTAAACAAGTGTTGGACCCGGAGGAGTAATGGAGCAGACTGTTACTCGGATTTCCGATGGGTACTTGAAAGGAACATGTGGATGTTTTCCCCTGCTCAGTGTAACTCGGTTTTTCCTTCCAGGGGGGAGAAGATCCAGGAATCCAGTATCACAGGAAAGCTTCCTGTCGGGGAGTAAAGACAAAAAACTCGTTAGACTCAGAAACAAAGCTAGGTTAGACTCAGCTAAACTAAGCTTGGCTAGAGTACCCAAAACTGGCAAACTCTCTGGTGTTGAGGTAGTGACAGCCCACTGCTCAAATACTCTCCAGATAATGATCCAATGACCCGCAGGTGTGCAGGGAGGGACAGCGAAGACAGGGCACCTCCTGGTGGTGGAAAAAGGAAACACATAAACAGGCCACACAAACTGGATTCCTGACATCAAATAGTTTTTTTTTTATCCCCTAAAAGGTGTCGGAAATTGTTTAAAATTTCAGTCCAACTAAGGTTTTTGAAAATATTTAGTGGGTAACCGTGCTATCTGATTCCCATTTCACATATAGTCCAATTTTTACACCAGCTCTGCCTCAGCAAAGAGTCTTTGTAACGATGAAATGGCTTTTTTGCTATCTGGACTTGATTCTTGTTCAGATTAAACAAAAACAATCCACTTACCAAGTTCTGACCTCTGTTTAGATACAGAACATAATTTGTGAAAAAAATTAAGCTATATTATTATGTGATAACATTTGAAGGCTCCTAATGAGAAAATAATTATCAGAGAAAATGATGTCCTGTGATGAATCCCAGGATGTCTTCCTTCTTACAGTGTGTGTGCAGCAGCTGTGGAGCCTCATCGGACCCCCTGCCCTTCATTCAGATGGTTCATTACATCTCAACCACGTCTCTCTGGTAAGTCCAAACATGCACCTTCACATTCACACACACTTGGCTGTGAATACACACGTTGCACTAAATCTGGAAGCAGGTTTGGGCTTAATCACGGCAGTAAAAGAAGGTACAGCTCGTTCTTTGCTTCTCTGCATGGGTCCTGGCTAGACAGTGAGCAAAATTGCGCATGAACATCTAAGTGCATTTGTCATGCATATGGTTATGCAAGATGCAGAAATTGAGTGTGTGCATATGTCAATGAAGGATTGTCCAGGTAATTGCACACACAGAGAAGTATGTGTTTTACATTACAATCCCCCCACCCTCTACTTCAGGTTAATGAAATAAGAAACTTGGTTGCAATCAATAAATTGCTCCAAGGGAATAGCAAAAACCTATAAGTAAAACAAGGAAGCAGAACAATCTAACTGAAAAATGAAACAAAACATCAAACATTTTACTTTTTGTTATATGATTAAAGAAGCCCTACCTTCCTTCCTACAGCAGGGAAAAATACAAATAAACAGGTAGTTCAAACACAAAGGAGCAGCTTTCCCTGTGTTTTGTGCCCGTTCACACTAACAGGCTATTTTTAACCGTGCCGAGGCCTGCTGCTTACAGCCTAGAGAGCAAAAAAGTCAACATAAGTAAGATAATCCAAGAAAAACAAAAAAACAAAAGATGGAGAAATGTTGCGGATGTGTGGCTGCAGCGCAGCTCAGACATAAGTAAACAGAAATAAAAGCGTCTTCCTGGCTGTTATTGTGGTGTGGTTGCAGTTAAGAGGTTTATTTCAGCATTGTTGTTTCATATTTACAGAGGGAATTAATTTATTTATGGGTTGGTCGCTTTGGGCATTTTAAATCAGGCAAAAGGAGATGACTGGATGGATTGTCTCAGAAGGACAAAGACAAGAATTGTTACCTTGTTCAGCCTTCCTGTTTTCCTCTGAAAGTCTTCCTTTCTCATTGCCTGAATGAACCGCAAAAATGTCAAGTATATTTTGCTTATTGACCTAAAAGAAATGCAATTAAAGAAGCCTGTCAAGGGTGTACCAACACAACTGGAGATGGGCACCATCACCCCTTGCGACCCCGCTTGGGATAAGTGTGACAGAAAATGGATGGATGGATGGAAATGCATTGACTATACACTTTAATTTCTTTCCTTTTGAAATATAATCACTTCTGTGTAAGGAAATGATAAAATGCCTATGGTAATATCCCAGAATCAGTACTCAAATGTAAATTTATGGCTTAAACAGGTAGTTCTATAATAGGGTAATCTCTACTAGGGCTTCCTGATTGGTGTTTGGCTTTCCTCTGAAGAAAGTCTGTGATCTTCATTCTGTTTCTGTGTGTCAATTATTCTGCAGTAACCAGGCAGTGAGAATGCTGGAGTGCAGAGAGAAACCAACGCCGGACATGTTTGGAGAGCTGCTGCGCAATGCCAGCAACATGGGAGACCTTCGCAACTGCCCTGTGAGACAATAATCATTTCACACATAGACATTATGCAAGAAAGTACTGTGTCATTAGCAAAGAAAAATATATCTCTAATCAAGATGCTGCCACATTACAGCAATGAACAAATATTAATCTGTCTAACCTGTCAATCATACGATACATAGAGAAGCATGTATAAAAAACGCATCCTTACTTGAAAACAGTGTTGAATCCAGCATGTCGATCAAGGCAGGATGGAAATGCTGGACCTACATCTCTTGTGTGTAAATGGAATCAAGAAAACATAAAGCAAAAACCTTTACAGGTCTGATTCTGATCATTAATCTCAGCAGCTCTTAAGGCAAGCTGCAAAAAGAGATTCAAATCTAACTTCTCTGCACTGGAACTCACTCTATACCTTCCTTTTTCTTCATCACTTTCCTCTACATGTTCTCATTCTCTCTTAATTAAATCTTTCTATCTTCACCACTTATTCTAACATCATTTTCCTCATTGTCACTCATTTCACTATACAGTTGCGCTATCAGTGGCCTCCTTTACCTGTGACTCTCCTCTCTCCTGATCATTCTAATAAATAAAATATGTTTTATTTAAATTGCAGCCTAAAGCAGGTGGCTTAGCAATGTTGAATACTGCATTTTAAAGTGTGTTTCTAGAAATTAAGTGTTTACCTTTGGCTAATCAGTGCTATACTCTGAGCCAGGGGAAGCCACACACATAAGACCATCGCTCTGTGTGACTCAGATCAAATGTTTTCTAAGCCAGTTATCAGTGGGACATATCACACATTAATCTGCCTTCAAACCAGGAGAGGTTTCTGAAAATAAACTGAAGTTTTATATCCACAGTGATGAGAATAGTAAAGGTATGGATCCTAAATGTTAAACCAAGACAGTCTTGTTAAAAGTTCAATGTTCCTGAACATCAGAGTACTACAATTTACAAAGGATCAATTGTTATTAGCATAGTAGAAATAAGTTTGCTTCAAAAATGATAGTTTGCATTTTTTTTTTATAATAGTGTTTTCTCTTCTATCATTCTAAAATATACTTTATTAGATATACTAATTTCATTAGTTTTATTATGAAAAACAGTAACTACTGATGCATTTTGTCAATGTTCAATGTATCTATTTTGGTACATGATTAATGTATCTATTTAGGTAAAATCATCTGGCAGCAGGTGAAGATGAAGTCTAATAACATTGTTGTAAGACATGGGACCTGTGCATTTTCTCATGGGGTTCCTCCTCAGTTTGATTCTGTCTTCCATTACACAGAAAATACTAAGTGGCTGTTTGCAACTGCTTTGGATGTTATCATCTCAATAAATGGTCATTATTAGTGGTTATCAGTCATCGGCGTCACCAGACCCCATTTACTGGGGCACGTGCCCCAGTATAAATGAGCTGTGCCCCAGTATAAATCTCATGAATATTTGCAACAGTGATAAATTTTTTTAATGCATCAATTTAGATATTTCCAACGGAAGTAGACGTATATTTCTACTCAAATGCGCAGCAAGTGTGTTGGTAACTCCAAATTGAGGATGTATTAGCGCCCCCACGTCAGCGCATGTCACTGCATGAACTGCAGGTAAACTAACGCGCAGCTCTCAACTGTTTTGGATGGGACACTGTGCGGCCACAACGCATTTTTAGTTCTGGTAACGTTTCTTACCTGTCAATTTTATTATTTTCCCAGTGAAACCACATGATTTATAGGCTACTAACTGAAAATGACTGCATTGGTTTGTAGATGGATATCAGGAAATTCCTCACACGAAGCAGAGACAGGGAAGCAGTAACACAAGATGAGAGGGAGGGAGGTAAGGTCTTGTGATGAATTAGTGATTTAAGCTAACTAGTTACATTAGCAACGTTATAAGCAATATGATAGATATTTGCATAATAATAAACTTACGTTTTTTAATGTTTGCTGTAGAGAATGAGAATGAAGGTGCTGGAGTAGGAAAGGGAGGAGGAGGCGAGTCTGACAGGCAAGAGACAGGAGAGACAGGAGAGACAGGTGAGAGACAGGACCATGAAGATGATGAGGGAGCAACAACCAGCTTCCACAAATAAGAAGGGGACATTAGTGACTTAGGGGGAAAGCATGATAGTCCTAGACAAGTGAAGTTGTCCCACTATCCCCAGGACAAATTTGGAGTAAAAAAAACTTTAATTTAATTCAAAATGGTTTGAAAGCTTTTCCTGGTTGAAAAGAAAGCCTTGTCGTCAAGGATATGCAGTGTGTTTTCAACTTGCTTGATAACACCATGTTCCCCACACTAACGCAGGTCATCCAGATCTCCCTCACAATCACAATTAACAGCTGGATTTGTGAAAGGTCATTCAGTGTGTTGAGAAGGATCCACACTTGGCTGAGGTGCACAATGGGATAAGACAGGCTCCATCATCTTGCTATTTTATCAGTTGAAAAGGAAGAACTTTCTAAGCTGAGTCACAGTCTAGTGATGGACCGCTTTGCAAAAATGAAAAATAGGAGGTAAACTTTATTGCTCAAAAAATAAAAGAAAAACTTAGTTCGGGTTGAGTTAATCTTTCCCCTGAACTAAAACTCTGAAACCTAGGAATTAATGATTACTTCAGATTGTGTATAAGGAAACTTTTTATTTGTCAAAGTTGGGGATTTCTTATTTTTTATAGCTGCAATGTTGAAAATGTTCATGTTTGTTAAAACAAATATGCTCTTATACTCATTAATATCTCAACTGGTAATTTTGGTAGGAATGTATCAGAGTGGGGCAGTGTGCTTGTCTGTATTTGTGTATGGAAGGAGGGGCATATGCACTAGGGGGCCAGTGCCCCAGTAAAGCTTTGTGCCTAGCAACGCCCCTGTTATCAGTCCCATAGAATGGCTTCAGATTGTACCAGTAGGCTCAGTAGGATTTTGTCACTGAATAAATCCTAATCCTAACCCTAAGGTAAATCTTACTGCACCATGACATCACTTTTGGAAGATGTAAGGAGCGAGGTGTTACTACATTTGGGCAAAAATGGCCGCTCCCGGACTCAGGGATTGCGACGAAAATAGATATATTTTTTTTTACCCGATTAACTCTAAATTTTTTAGATCACCATGAATGTATTAGTTTTAGGTATAATGATCTATTGATTATTCCTTGGTGACTGGACTTTTCCTTTAACTCCTAATGTGTCTAAAGGACCAAGTGAAGGATTTTTTTAAGTTCCTTTTTTAAAGCACAAAAATACAACAAAAATCTCCGGACCAAATCGGGAAATAAAACAGCATGATTGGCTGTAAGGAGAGTGGAGACAGAGGACATTCAGAGTTTACTGAAAGAAACCTGCTCCCAATTAGGTAAGCATGGGGAGAACGTTACTACAGTGACTGAAACAGCGGTTGAGGCGGAAAACTCTGAGTTTCTAATATAAACCTGCATTGTGAAATGGACCCCTGATCTCCAGGCGTTTTATTTTGTATTTGTGTTCACGTTGTTTCCCGGTTGTTTATTTATGTTTTACCTCCTCTGTGATTTATAGTTCATTATATGTTAGACACTATATAAATATTTATATTGCGTTCTGCCTCTCTCGTGTAATTAGCCTCCTCTTCTCAGCTTCTGAGCTTTTAGCTGTTCCTTGTTTCATGTGATTAAATATGCAGTTTACTTGCCATTTCTTCATGCCTGCCTCTTTATTAAAGCTCCCTGGACTGTATTGTTCTCTGCTGGTTTCCTTCATTGTCCTATTCTGGATTCTATTGATCAGTCATTTTCTGCAAATCCTTGTCATTTGACTGCCTGTTTATCCTGCCAGTTTGTCAGTAACTTCTTATCCCTTGATTACTGACTTTTATGATGTTTATTAAAACAATTTTTGCTACAAATATGTGCTTACACTTTGTTTCCAGATCATGATAATTCCTAGAATATATTTTTTGTGTCTCCATTAGTCTGTATATGTCAGTGTGAATTATTTGCAGTTGGGCCGATGGCATCATTTGGGAAGGCGTCATACTTTTCTGCACAAATGAGACCCCCGCCATCATTCAGAATCAGAATTACTTTATTCTGATTCTGAACTCTTGTTCATGTTTTTTTTTTTCACATTGTTCATTAAAGTCAAACATATTTACTTTAGTTGTATCTGTCTAAATGACCTGATTTCATAAGTATGGTGGTGTTTTTAAATGCAACTTTAATCCTAAGGCATGCTGTTGCTCTCTGATAGCCAATATCTTCTAGCAGCTCTTTCAAACAATTCATACCTCTTCCCCCTTTTTCCTATTCAGATGTCCTGAACTGTACCTGGCCTGGAACTCTTCATCCTTCACTCTTGCTCTGAGCCTTACATGATCTGAGCTCATTGTTGATATGGTGGGATATATATATATATATATATATATATATATATATATATATATATGGGAGCATCTGCAACTTTCTTAAATGTTTTCCACTTGTAAACAATATAACAATGAGCTTCAAATAGTTTGGAAATGTCCTGCTAAGTGTTTGACGTCTTTCCATTTTGGTATGATTTTAACTGGATCCTTTATGCTTAAGATCTGAGATAATGGAGATCTGAGGTTTCTCATGATTCATTTATGGAGGGCATTCAGTTAGCAGCATAGCTGCCTCACAACAGATGCAAACCTATGGAAGCCCACCTTTTTCTTCCTTTGGCACCTTCTTCTCCTTTGACTATTAGAGCTGATGTGACGAGCAAATCTTAAAGAGGATACATATTTTTAATAACTCTGCAAAGAATTTTCTGGTTGAGCAGAGGTTTGAAGAGGAGTCAAATGCAGAGACAGATTGAGGCAGAGATGAGTTCTGCTGATTTAATGTTGATCCAAAGGCCAAAAATAAAATACAGCAAAGCAAAAAAGACATCAGGAAAAACACACATGAGGAGCAAGGAATAATGACCAAACAGTAACAGTAAGAGGAGTATATATGCCAAACAGAACAAAGACAGGTGTAATCAACTGATTGGGAGCAGGTGTTGACAGAGGAATCTAGAAGGG